AATCTATATTATGGCACGATCTCCGTGACAAGAATCGAAGAAAACCATCAGCGGAGACAGCAAACATTTTAACGGCTTTATAACAATCTCTGTACACAAATTTATAAACAATGGTTTTCCATTACAGAGAACCACCAAATTACCAGTAAGGAGATACATACATTGAATTGCAACCCGCCTAGAATGTTGTCACTTGAGGTTCCTCCAATGGCTGCAACCAAAATGACATCCAGAATACATGTGAGTTCGTAGATCCTAGGCGTATGTTTTTTGCACATGAATGTGTAAGGCATGTTTGATGGTAACTAATACATCAAGGTGTCACTTCTGTACATAACTAATTACCTCAACATAACGGCTTAGATCGCTAGAAGTATGGATATGCCCCGTACTGAAATATGACTGAGCATAGTCTTCAATTTTCTCCAATCTCCAAGCATAGACCAATTAAACCATTCAATAGGTGATATTAAATAGAGATATGCTTCATCAGTGAAGCAGTGAGCAAAAAAGAAAAAGCTGGTTCTGGTTACCTGTAAACATAGTTCACCATGATACCTCCGCTTTGATTAAGGCCTTTCTCTGACCGATCTGCCATCCAATTTATTCTTTCAACCATCTGCTCCACAGTAACAAAACTCAGACTTAGCATATCAAACTTCCCGCACTTTTGAAACATACTTTCTTTTAATTCACCTAACGTATCGAACAACTCATTTCTAGCTGTTGAAAAAAATTTCTTTCTTGTTCTGAGAATTACATAGAAGAAGCAACATAATTGATCTATGCATCTTAGGTGTTTTACCCAATCCATCATATTATACAACAACAATTATAAAGGCCCATAGGAGGAAAAGTTAACCAACTGTTCTGCAAACTTGAGTTAAAAGACGTACAGCTCCATTTTGTAAGTGAAAATTTGCAACAGAATCCAGAGCTTTTCCTCTCTTTTTCTCTTGCAGAAGGTACCTAGAGGCAAAGGAACAAGAATTAGTTAACTGTGTTTCAGACGGAATAACATAGAACACAAGCTTGTGCAAAATTACAAAAGCAATTTGTATGATGTAATCGCCAATTACACAATATTCACTCTTAGCTGTTTCATACTACAACAGAGCCGTCGTCTCCATTTTTACCAGTTTTGGGGGAAAAAAGAGGAGAGAAAAATGCACTTAATAACTAGTTTTATTAGAATACTAATATACCTGGCACACAGTCGCATTAGAGGGGGTTTTAACGCTGAAAGCAATTTATCAGAACTTGTCCACTCATGATTTGATGAAGTCAATAAATTGAACAACACTTCCATGCTGTTTTTCCCAGAAGTGAATTCCCTGAAAGTTTAAAATGTTATTAAGTATGCTACTCTCTAGATGCTAAAGTAACTTGCCAATTACAGTATGAAGCTTACACAGAAGCATCCATCAGTGCTCTTTCCTCTTCTGGTTCAAGTATGTTCTCCCAAAACGTAGAACCAGATGTATCAGCTGGCGAATGTTGTATGTCTTCACCTTCAGAAAGTTTTGATTGAGAAGCCAGCTTAGATAGGAGCCACTGCATGTACCCTGGGATGGGGCTGAGAGTCGCAAATGTCTGATTTTAAAGGGAAGAAAAGGCCATGTGTCAGAGAGCAAATCTATGAGCAAGACTTAGACAGAAAAGTATGATTAATTTATATATCCTCAAATTTTTAAAAGAGAGAGACTGAAGCACTTACAGAAATATTTATCATTTCTCTTTTCACAAGTGTGATCACGCGTTTGATTAGAAACCTTCCCAGGTTGATCCCTTGTAAGCCAGGCTGTGGAATTTTTTCAGTATTCAGATCAAGCAATGGTAGCAAAAAACCGAAGATAAGAGGTCAATATTCCCTTTCAAAAAGGAAACAAAGAGTTGAAGGTTATTTAAATTCTAGAAATAATAATTAATGTAACAATATGCACACCTGAGTTGATGATATGGAGTAAAACAAAGCGCTTGTAGCCTCACATTCGGGACTAGGAGGGTCATCCCACAAAACTTCCTGTCATACTGATATTAACTACATGACCATTGACCAGAAAACAAAAAGGAGAAAGAAAAGAAGAAGAAGAAGAACAGTCTAATAAGCTGAAATAAAACTGACCTGTACCGTTTGAGCCACATTCTTCATGAGTGCAACTTCAATGAAAATAAGCGGTTCACCTAAAAGAAGAAAATAGTAAAAACATATACAACATAATAATCATTCTAGTATGTATTCCAAACCATTACAATGAACGGCCACATGATCAAACATATTATCTACTGAATAACCATAATATTGCTCTTAGGTGACATCAAAAATTACCAAAGAGACAACAATAATAGAATACCAGGTATTGCTGGATGTAAATATCCAAAACAACGGCGACCGAGTCCCAGCCTTCTCTTGAGATCTATAAGATTGCTAATTGGGTGCACTGCCTAAACAATATAATAGGACGACATCAAGGTTACATACATATAATATACCTAAATTTGTTACGAGACAAGGAAGATTGTGTACCTCATAAGCCACAATTTTTTCCAGCAAAGAGGCTGGATCATCCCATGTGATCTGGTGAAGCTCTAATGTAGCAGGGCTAAGCCACGTACTAAGTTTTTCCTTTAAGTAGGAATCCAATGCTCGCAGTGACACAATATTTTCCTCTCTGAGAATATGCAAAAATAGCAATTCATCCTGGGGTCTGATTTCATTCTTAACGTTGTAATAGTTGTAAGTGTAACCTTACGCGAGAATGGATAGAATATCAGCTCGAAGAATGGATAAGAACTTCAACCCGCCGGGATGCGTGTTCAGCCGCTCAAATAGAACTTCGTACGCCGGCTTGAGAGCATGTCTTAGATTTCGCTCAATACGATAGAAAGCAGAAAGACAAGCCTCATCTTCAATGCCAGTTGAGGGAGCATTGTCACCTAAAGATGTCGGATTGACAAACCAACTCAAACTCACAAAAGACCAAGTGCAACATGTAAAGAACAACTAAAATAAATCAACACACAACTTACTGCCACCAGGAAGCTCAAGTCCCAAATATTGCTTTATCAAATCGCGAACTTGTGTCCTGTTAAGATCATACTCCTTGGCAAGTAGTTCGAGTAATTTTCGACGATTCTCATAAGAGAGGCTAAAATATCCCTACATTAATTAAGAATAAAATAAGGAATTTTCTTATCAAAAACATCAAATACAATCAGGAATTTCATCGTCCCAATACGATTAAGCACCAACCTCCGAGAAATCATTCAGTACAGAGTCTAAGATTTCGGTTTTGCTCAGTGAAATCGCCGAGTGCATGGACTCACGTACAACTTCAAAATCCCTAAAGAAGAACATTTAAATTCATGCTTTGATAGGAATTAAAATAAATAAATAAATAATAATAATTACCTCTCATTGTTGCTCGAGGCATTGAGCTTTTCGTTTCGTTGTTGTGGAGCACCTTGCACCAGTCGTCCACTTGATTGGCTTCCATCGGTATTGGGCAGCGTTTGGTTAACCAGGTTCTGTTGCAAAAACATCAACACTATCCAAATCCATAAGAAATTTCTTCGTAATCCAAACGCGGACTACGAAAATTGAATATCCTTACGGCGAGAGGAGAGCGAGCGAGGTCTCTGGCGTCGTTGGGCCTCATTCTGGTTCGCAACAAAATGGCCAACCCTTTCTTGTTCATGTTTAATTTTCCAAGTTCGATTTTTATAGTAAATGTAAGATTCAATTCTCAGTCTCTCGGACTCTCACTTTTGTCTCTTGTCTGGTGGCGCTTCATTTTCCACACCCGCCAGCCGCACAACCAAGTAAACTTTTCTTGACGACGCCCTCATACCTCAAGGCCCCTCAGTCTCTTTGAAATTACGAAATTACCTAACTTCTCTTTAAGCTGGCTTGGGCTGTTGCTCTATTTTCCTTGGATCCGGGCCTACTAAAATTAAAGGCCTATATTTAAATAGTAAGGCCGGGCGGCTATAATCTTTTAATATATTCGTGTACAGCCGCGCGGCTTTACTATTTTAATATTTTCGAATATTTAACAGTATAGCCGAGCGGCTATACCTTGTTCATGCTTTCTTCGCTTGTTTTGTATGATAAATTCTGCAATTCCTATTGATCACGGAAAGAAAGAAAAAATCATGTCTAGTATTTCAGTGTTATGGGGTCCACTTGTGCATTTCCTATTAAGTCATCTCCAATTATCAAATTTAAGTAAGAATACTGAGAACCAGTAATTAAAACTAAAATGATAAACATAAAGTAGAATGATGGAACTGCAAATGGGTACCAGCTTTTCTACAGGTTTCATTTGTGCTGATGCTTCCTCACAGTACCTTGACTGATAAAAGATTGAGGCCCTTCACCAAGTGCTGAGAGATCATCAACATGACTTTTTCTTTCACTTGCTTGTAGTAAAGAAGAAAATTTTACAGCAGCCAGTTCACTATCAGTGTCATATTCTGTTCGTCGTCTTTGTCGCTTTTCCTCTTTGCGCCCAAGTTTATCAATTTGCCGTTCAGTTTCTGTCTGAACATTAACCCGAAAACACAAGTGCAATGCTTCATTCCATATGTTTTTTATGATTTATGTGTTAATGAGAACAAATCTTCTAAAGAATTTTTGAAATACTATAGCCGTTCGGCTATACGTTGCTCATACATTCTAAAATTTTAATAGTGTAGCCGTGCGGCTATAATTTGTTAATATATTCGAATATTTTAATAGTATAGCCGCACGGCTATACGTTGTTACCTAACTTCTCTTGAGCTGGCTTGGGCTGTTGCTCTATCTTCCTGGATCCGGGCCGACTAAAATTAAAGGCCTATATTCAAAACGTATAGCCGCGCGGCCATACCCTTTTAATATATTCGAATATTTAAATAGTATAGCCGCGCGGCGATACTATTTTAATATTTTCGAATATTTAACAGTGTAGCTGCCCAGCGTAAGAACCCGCCGATTGAGAATGTTGTGATGATGCTTCCCTCGAGCACTCGCTGCACTGCTTGTAGCATTGTCATGGCCAAAGGCACCAAGTTGAATTCCCGCAAAGAAGAAGCCCTCGGCGAGGTACTTACTTGGCTTATTCTTCTTCTTTAATCTTAATCTTGTTCGTGTTTTGAAGCTTTAATTGGCCAGTTCATCTCTCGTCTTGCTCTCTCTCAGTTCTAGTTCTAGTTCTAGGGTTTGTTTATTTTTGTTGATGGTGGATGCTCTCTCTCTCCCTCTAGGTTTTGAGAGCTTTGGTGTTTTCTAATTCTTCAGGTTTAAATATCATGCGATACACACTACTAATTGTTGCATCATTATTTACAGGAGTTTTGGGAGGTTTGGAAGGATCACACATTCAGATTTTGCTTCAATTGTACCCAGTGCTCGGCTGAGATAGTCATAAGGACAGACCCACAATATTCACACCTTGCTGTTGAGGGCGGTGCTTCGAAATTTTGTAGTCATTTTATCCCTTGGCTTCCCCCTAGGGTTGAGGAGGTAAAAGAAAGGAACTAAAGATTCTGCCTACATACATACAGCTATATACATATATATATGCATGCATGCTTCATGTCTTTCTACTTTTATGTTGCCTTTTACTGTTATCAGAATTACTCAATCCAAACTTCCTTTGCAGAAAGAGAAGTTGGTTCCTTACACGGACCCAAACTGGCAAGAGAAAAGAGAGGAGGTCTTAGTTAACAGGGTACATGCCTTTGTACTTGTTATCAGGTTTTCAGATTCCCTAATCACATTGCTGCTGCTGCTTCTTAAATAATGACTCAAATCATACATGCTTATTTCCATTTCAGATACAACAAATTATAGATAAGCGTATTCAGAAAAGGAAGATTGAAGAAGCGGGAGATGCCATGAAATCTTTGGATTCCAAAAGAGAGATTTAGCAGTTTTCCGTCAAGGTAGATTCCTTATTATTTGTAATCAGATTCATAGCCGATCGATGTGATAATGCATGTAGTTTGCTAAGCTTGGGCATGTGACTGATCATTTAGAGCAGAATGAAGACTTTCCTAAACAAAAATATGTACAAGTTGGTCCTACATTCCATGCTTCTGCTAATTTAGCTAGTTTTCATTGTCATTGGTTTATTTGATATCCTTGTGTACATTAATGTGTTTATTTTTGAGATGTACGCAGGTTTATGAAATATTTTGACTTTTGTGTTGATAGAAACGGAGGGCGCTGCTAAGACATATGTGTATTTTTTTAGATGTGTGGTTTAGTAATGCAATATCTCCTACTCCTACATTCCTTTGTTTATGTTTGTTTAGGTATTCCGATTCAAACAGCTTACAATTGACTAAAATGTAATGTATAATGATTAAAGATTTACTTACCATTGATCACTTCCCCGTCCTCCATCAATGCTACAATTTGGATATCTCATTGGTTTATTCATATCTTATAGTTGGTTACTTTGGTTTTCAATACATGATGATCTAATCTTGTATACCCCTTGGAGCTTTATGGCTCTTTCGAATCTTGTTTTCAATACATGGGATGATGGAATGGAAATGTATGTCCATAACATTGGGTTCATTCACATTCCAAGAATGATTGCTTGATTCAAGTTCAACTATTACTTGTAGCATATTTAATTCCCATCGTGGTCATCGCCCAACACTCATTTCAAACATGAGGCTGATTTTCAATAACTTAGTTTCACTCTATTACAACTCACCTAACATTTATAGGAATATATCTTACAGAATGTTGGATTTTGTGGGTTAAGTAGATGGAGGTTCGCATATATAATGATCACTATGCCATCTCCAATTATCAAATTTAAGTAAGAATATTGAGAACTAGTAAATAAAACTAAAATGATAAACATGAAGTAGAATGATGGAACCGCAAATGGGTACCAGCTTTTCTCCAGGTTTCATTTGTGCTGTTGGTGTTGGGGAATAATGACCTCCTCCTCATATCCCTTATGATGCTTCCTCACAGTTCCTTGACTGATAAAGATTGAGGCCCTTCACCAAGCGCTAAGAGATCATCAACGTGACTTTTTCTTTCACTTGCTTTTAGTAAAGAAGAAAATTTTACAGCAGCCAGTTCACTATCAGTGTCATATTCTGTTCCTCGTCTTTTACAGAAGCGATTATACATGTATGCCATATGCTCCAACAAAAAAAACATTCAGCCTAGGCGTGTCCTTTTTTTATAACTTTTTTTCCTGACTTTAAAGAAAACTTATAATACCGGACTGGACCAAGGTATAATTTAATCGGGCTTCATGTGTAATGTATATTTAAGTTGCAAGTCCACAGTGGTTGACCGTTGACTTGTGCCTTTAGTGTGTATAGTCGGCAATGGACTGTAGCTAGCTTTTGGGTATAGCTTGGGAATAATGGTGGTGGTGGTGGTAGTGGTGGTCATGTGGGCTAGTCTAGTGAGAGTGAGAAAATGACAAACAAAAGTGGATGCACGACAACTGGTAGGGATCCTCTTCTTTGCTTACTTCAATTTGGTCTTAAAAAATTGAATACCATTGCTAAGCTTTTGTTCCTTTTTGTACCGTTGCTATGTATGACTCGAAACCCTTTTTTTCCCCTTTTTATTAGGTACGTGTTAATCACAATGGTAACTTTATATTCAAGTTTGAATTCTCATTTCTGTAATTTATATTAAATGTGGGTAGACAATTGCCCTTTAAAATTAGTCACAATGGTAACCTTATACTCAAATTTGAATTCTCATCTCCGTAATTTTAAATTATATTAAATGTGCATAGACAGTTGCCCTTTAACATTACATGACTATAAGCATCAAAATAGATTGAGTTAACTCTAAGCATAAAAATAAATTAAGTTGGTGTAAGAAGCTGAAAGATCCAAAGCAAATTTTATATATTATGCCTGGAGTCCTAGACCACCAGGGATTGTGCCGGATTATAGTCAATGAGATTACTACGTGCAAAGGGCCAAGGGCCATAGCTAGATGCAAGTGCGCGGGGCCATATTTGATTAATCAACCAAAATAAAAATAGTCCATGAATGGCCTTGTTTGGTTGATGGGATGGATGGGACAATGCTAGCTAGCTAGCTGGGCCCTGAATCACCGACTTTCTTGGCTAATTGCCAGCCACCTATTATTCTAATGTATAACCCTACTACGTGCCTTTTTATTCATATCTGTATATGTATTGACAAAATGGAGAAAAAGCAAATAATAATTATTAAGTTAAGTTTGGGGGGAAATGCAAATGCAACGTGGCTAACAATGCAAACACATTGGAATGAAAACGATTAAGGCCCCGTTTGGTTCACGGAATGAATTTGATGGGAAATCATTTTCCATGTCATTTCCCAAGGGATGGGAAATGGTGATTCCTTTCTCATGTTTGGTAATGCCGGGAAAGTGACCCAGAAATATCACTTTATTTCATTTCCCATGTTTGTTTTGAGTAGGAATGGAAAACAAATTTTGTTTAGTTTCCCAATTGTATCCCTATTAAAATAAAAAATATATACAAATAATTGTTGGATAAAAACTGTAATTATGAATTATTAGTAAGGACAAATTAGTCATAAAAAAAGTTAGTCTTACTTTCTCATGGGAAGGGAAAGTGAAACCCAAGTAGGAAGGAATGATTCACTTTCCCTCCTACTTTCTCATGTGCTAGGCAACGCTTTCCCATGCCTGACTTACCAAACATGGGAAAGCAATTGGTTTCCCATCCCCAAGATTCCTTTCCCATGAACCAAACGCAGTCTGAGAGTTAACCAATTATTCAGACCAAATATAAAATAATTTATAATTAACATAACCCTCCAGTTTGAATTTAAAAAAATTAAAATTACATAGAATTTTAAAATGACATAATTTAGATTTTTATAATTTCAATTCATGATAATTGAAAATTTTAGTGTTTGAATTTATGTATAAAGTTGAAGGAATCTAAGGTAGATCAAGGATGGTTCGCTGCCTTCCCATTATTGGAATAAAATTTAGAAGGTCTATCTACACAAGTCACCCTTGGTTCTTCAACGCTTACCACACGATATATAACTTTCCACTTTAATAATGATAATTTCCCTATATTTGATGGCTAACAATAATAATGTTCCCTTCATCCTCACAAAATAGTAAATTCTTAATTCTTAAAAAAATGGACTTTTGCGATACTTGGAAAAAAAACAAAAAAAACAAAAAAAAGCAAAGGTTCATGACATGATTCGCAAGTGACCTTTTTCATTTCAATTAATGTTAACTTTTTCATGATTCGCATAATATATAATAATGCCCCCCCTCAGGGCAAATTTGTAAAGATGAAACATTATTGGTTTTTTGGAACTTCCTCAATTCAACATATCATGTCATATGCTTTTTTGTTTTTTGTTTTTAGAGGATTAGGTACACAACACCGCATAATTGACATCATTGTATTCAGTGCATGCCTCATGTGTAATAAGTCTTTTGGAATTTGATTTTACCACTTTCCGTCCAATGTGAATTCTTTTGATTATGGGATTAATTTTGATGTCATTGGACTATATGTTGAGAAATTATAACGGCTAAAAGAGGTTTTAAAAAAAGTTATTTGGCTGGCTCATGTCATTGATGAAATTCATTTACAATCTGTATCATTGGTACTCTTTATTCTTATTGATCTAATAAAATTCTATCGTATTTTTATAAAAATAAAAAAAAATAAGATCACCACAATGGTTGGGGTAAACAAACAAAGAAGCAAGATCATCATGAAAATAATTGACACTTTTAGTTGTATTAATTACTTCCTATAAGATTCCCAAAATCTCAATATCCGGAGACAACTAAGGTTTACAATTGTGTGCAGCAATACAATCCACAAGATTATCACAAAGAACTTGTAAATAATACGAAGCCAATAAAAAATAATTTTGAATTTTAGAAAATTAAAATATCATTATTGTTGACAATAAATAAATAAATAAATATCCAATGACCAAAGTAAATGCCAATGTCGGCTTATGTTATTGATGGTGGAGCAACACACACATGCATGCACACAAAATAATGTGAGATTAATAGTGAACTTTCCCGTGATAAAATTGAAAGAAAATAGAAAGAAAAAATATTGTGAGCATGAATATAATATGGGATTTGTATAATAATATTTCCCATCACTGGAATGGAAAGTGAAGGGCGAGTCATGCATGGGACAATTCGTAAGCGGCTTTACTGTTTCACAACGGGACATTTTTGCATATTCCTTGGTGCTAGTGGCGTCGTTTTCTCTCAAATTTACACATGTTTCATTTTAACTAGGTTTTTATTTTTCCCATAATTTTAACTAAGTATTTATCTCTCTCAGTATGCGACATTCTCAATATCATATCTTATACGGTCTCAAAAATAATGATCCAAACTTTACAAACCACCGATAAATAAATAAATAACTTTAATGGCATTGAAACACAAACATTGGTGGATTCATAGGTGGTTCCATGCTCGATCACGCATATATAGGAGTTCTTCTTGAACTCCGCTCTATTATATTTTATCAGAAACGCAATTACGATCAACTGTAACTGGCACCCTGTCGAAGCTTTACTCTCTAGTCCCAACCAAACCAAGCCATCATGCCATCGCCCACCTCTATTAATATTCCTTCCTCTAGAAAACCTCGGATCTTCATATGCCCTAATTCTGGTGATGCTAGATGTCACCTCAGAACTCTCCACAACATCATCAGCAAACACACGGATATGTTCCTTGCTTATATCAGATAAAATGATGACAACGTGCTGCTCAACCTCAACAACCATACCAATTGCACCTTCCTGAGTACCAGATACAACTTTCACATGATTCCCAGACTGGCGCATCAACCCACTGTTACAGTCCTCCACTTAAATCTTGATTTGTTCTCATGAGGAATCAAACCCACAATCGCAAGTTCGCCCTAATCACTGGGCTACCCAAGGGTGGATATGTATCTATATATTGTTATTTCATCAACTATAGAGTAAGTACATATGAAAACACCCCCCTAAAATTGCAATAAATATAGATGATTATTGTTTTTAAAAACACTTAATGTTTCTCACGTTTACTTCTCAAGGTTCAACCAACTGAACTCCTTTTTTTTAATGCACACATTGCATTTGAGCTGGTTGCTTATCAATTGATTTAAAAAAGAAAGAAAAATTAGAGAATCCTTATTTTGTGGATGAAATTTGAGATAAATCAGGGGATCCAGCTCCATCAATTATTTAATGAATTACCAAATATGATATTTGTACTATTTATCAATCATTTACAATTGGAATTTAAAATAAAACTTGCACTACCGTCGAATCAAAGCAAGTGAGATTGGGTATAAAAAATCAGTCAAAAACTCAACTCAGAAGTTGTTTTGACTTGTTCTTGTAATCTTGTTTAACGTACTTATTTAAGATACATATAATTGCGGTTGCGTGTAATTACCAAGCCCGGTCCCCTTTCTCTACGCTTTCCACTCGTTATGTCAAAAATAATTCGACCACTCCCCAACTAACTAGACGGAGCAACATCAACGTCCGATCGAACACCCATCTACCTATCAACCACGTGGCAAAATCCCGAGCAAAGTTGACAACAAAAAAACCTAGCCGAAAAGCAGAGGATCCAAAATCAGTGAGAGAAGAGAACTGAGCAAGAAGAAAGAGACGTTCCGGAAAAAGAGTCATACATTACTTGGCTACTTCTTCTGTGTTTACATCTCATTTTTTTCATTTTTCCAAAATTTTAAAATTCCGTTTCCTTTTTTCGCCGACACAACGTATGCACAGTGACATACACGCACTTTATTTTTTAATTTTTTGTCTCTCTTAATTACTCAAGCTTCGAATCTCCATCGCACTCCCTCTGAGACTCTGACCCTTTTCTTTAATGGCAATGCCTCTTATTACTGATGGTCGTCTCCTACTCCAACTACCACTACCCGCAGCCCTACCATTTGGTTTTCTCTTCCTCTTCTTCGCCTGCGCCTCAATGGTTCTATTGCATGAGCCTCGCCTCACCTGAACTCTCTCTCTCTCTCTCTCTCTCTCTCTCTCTCTCTCTCTCTCTCTCCCTGCTTCTAAACGCTATAATGGCTGATCGCAACTTCGCTCACTGGCTCTCTGTACCTCGCTTGCTCACTGGGTTTGTGTTAATTGCTTCGACCTTTGCTGTTCTGCCTCTCGTTAGTGGCACCACTGATGCTTCAGATGGTATGCCTTTTATTTTGTAAAAAAGTTTTAAGCTTTAATCCCGGGAAGCTTCTGATTTATGGATTTGGTGGTGTTGATTGGCAATGTGGATTTTTGGATAGAAAATGGACTTTGACTTGGGGGTTTTTTGATTTTGTGATCTATGTATGCATTTTTTCCTTCAAAGATGAAAACTTTAGACCTCGTTTGGTTCCTGAGTAGAAAAAAAAGTAGGAAAATGAAGATACACAGGCCTTTTATCTTTTTTCCTGTTTAATGTTGATTTGCTTCGTGGAAAAATGAGAAATTTACCATAACTTGGCTAAAGCTCAGCTCAGGCCTGATTGCACAGAGGAATCTAAGCTTGATACTCTTCCCCATTTTTCAAAATTTCGATTTCTTTTACCAGATAGGAAAGAAATGCAGGGTACATGTAGCAAAGCTTTTGCAACAAATTTGCGTGCTTTTAAAAAAGTGTTGTTCTTTGCTTTGTAGTTCAAGCACTTCAGGTTTTGTACACATCGGTAAACAGTCCTTCTCAGCTAACTGGTTGGAAAATTAGTGGCGGTGATCCATGTGGAGAATCATGGAAAGGGGTAACTTGTGAGGGCTCAGCTGTTGTTTCAATGTATGATTCTATATTTTGAAAATGCGGCTTTGAATTTATACAATTAATTCAACTGGTTTATTGACATTGTTAATGTGTCTTATTGTTGTTATAACAGAGAGGTTTCGGGGTTAGGTCTCAGTGGAACTATGGGATACTTGCTTTCTGACCTGTTGTCATTGAGAAAATTGTGAGAATATTATCATCCTGTTTTTCTTATGATTTTTTTTGGGGACTTTTCCGAGTATAACAAATTCTATCATTTTCATTGATTTTCTGAGTTGTTAATATTAAGTTCTTTGTGTTCCTCAGTGATTTGAGTGACAACAATTTTCATGATACACTCCCGTATCAGCTACCTCCAAATCTTACAAGCCTGTAATGATCATTCATTAATTTATTCTTTCTTTCGTTTGGAAGTTGTTTTCATTGCCAACTATGATACTCAAAATTATTATTTTTTCTTTTCTTTTTTGTGTATGTATGCACAGAAATCTTGCAAGGAACAACTTCACTGGGAATTTACCTTATTCCATTGCTAACATGGTTTCTCTCGGTTATTTGTGAGTTTACAGTATTGAACTTTAAGAATTGTTACTTTCTTATGCATTCCATGAGGCTGTTCTGACATGTTTCTGAAATCCATGTTCTTAGGAATGTTAGCCATAATTCACTATCCCAGTCAGTTGGTGACATTTTTGCTAATCTTGCGGGCCTTGCAACCTTGTAAGATACCTTACTCTAGCGATATATATATATATTTTTTTCATAAGCATTCTGATAGCTTGATGTCATGAATATTTTGCCTGCGTTGTCTAGAATTCTTTTTTTGAAAACTTTTTTCATATAATGGGCCACTATGCTTTTCCGTGCAGGGATCTATCACTTAACAACTTCTCTGGTGATATTCCTAATTCCTTCACTTCATTGACCAATCTTTCTTCCCTGTGAGTTTCTTGAAGTGCTGATTTCTTGTGAAATTTCTGTTTGTGAATATTATGCTATTTATTTTCTATCACTTGTAATGACATCTCAATTTGTGCCAGCTATGTGCAGAACAATCAATTGACTGGTTCTCTCAATGTTCTTACGGGTTTGCCATTGACTACTTTGTAAGTGTGTTTTCCCTACTTAGTTTGGCATTTATGATTCTACTACCTACTCTTATCTTGTTATGCACATTATCTTGAACAGAAATGTCGCCAACAACCATTTCAGCGGGTGGATACCACACGAGCTTAGTTCAATTCATACTTTCATGTAAGTGCCATTTTTATTCAATGCAGATCTTTATTTAGTGCTCAACTTTTTAAGCATGTCTAATTTGACCCTTAAAAATTGAAATAGTTATGATGGAAATGCTTTTAAAAATGGTCCTGCTCCTCCACCGCCACCGTATAACCCACCTCCCCCAGGAAGATCCAATAAGAATCACAGTCATTCTGGATCTGGAACACATCCAGAGCGTTCTGATGGAAAATCACGCAATTCAAAAAAAGGGCTGACAGTTGGGGCTTTGGTAGGGATAATTCTGGGTTCTGTTGTTGTTGCTCTCATTATCTTACTTGCTCTTGCCTTTTGCATTCGCAAAAATAAAGGGGAGGACCGTGTTGCAAGAGCTTCAGGGGGAAGTCTCTCTGTTCCCACAAGTAATGGTAGAATCTCTTTTCCCACCCCTATTTTTTTCCTTTAATTTTGGACTTTGGCTTTTTAATATACAGGAATATAAGTTGAGAGGCATGTGATTTCTTTAAAACTAGATTAATTTTTTATTGCAACACTCAAAAGTTTTGATAGTTTTCTGACAATGACTAGCATATATTTTTTTCCCAAAAAGTCAGAGCTAAAGCTTACCTATATTTGCAGGTGTATGGTCTTCTCTAAGCATCTTAACCATTTCAATGTTGCATCCTGTTCTATTTTGCAGTAAACACTGAGATGCAAGAGCAGAGGGTAAAAAGTGTGGCTACTATAACTGATCTCAAGCCCCCACCCGCAGAAATATTGGTGGTTGATAGGTTACATAATAAAAATGGATCAATAAAAAGGATAAAATCGCCTATCACTGCTACTCCTTATACGGTTGCTACTCTCCAAACAGCAACAAATAGCTTTAGTCAAGAATTTCTTGTTGGTGAAGGTTCCCTTGGTCGTGTATACAGAGCAGAGTTCCCTAATGGAAAGGTACCTTTGTTTATGTATTGTTGTTTTCTTCCTTTTCTTTAAAACAATGTTGTATGGACGTGTTTAAAACTAGTGATGGTTGGATTAGCTAATGTAACAAATATTTCCATTATAAGAGATCGATGGTTCTGCCATTACTTTTAGCTGGTGGGAACTGTGCAAGGGTCCTGAATCTCATTCTCTCTCCCTACATGATACAAACGCGCACACACACATTGATGTATGTATGTATCTTTATTTGCTTTTGTCTTTGCTGTGTGGAGTGTGACTAATCTTAACGGTCGCATTGTTCAAAATATTGATGACCTTTTACTTATTTAGTTTTTATGATGTGCAAATGCTCAACGCAAGTAAAAAGTTAAAATAAGATCAAATTTAGTTTGTCACCCATGATATAGACTTCAGTCTTCAATAGTAATAGATGGAGTTATCTCCACCATATACTTCTTGCCCTACTTGTTGTACTTACCGTCACTTGCTAATTAGGGTCAACTATATTTTGGCACCCTGAGCTCCGACTTCTATTTGAGGTTGATTTCTCCTGTAGTACCAAATAGGACTAGTGGCACATCAACTAATCTATTTTTCTTCTATTTTTCCTACTAGATAATGGCCATTAAGAAAATTGACAATGCAGCACTATCCTTACAAGAGGAAGATAATTTTCTTGAAGCTGTTTCAAATATGTCGCGTTTGAGGCATCCAAACATTGTTACACTGGCCGGATATTGTGCAGAGCATGGACAGCGTCTTCTAGTCTATGAGCATATAGGAAATGGGAGCTTGCATGACATTCTTCATTTTGCTGAAGATGGCAGTAATACTCTGACTTGGAATGCCCGTGTTAGGGTAGCACTTGGCACAGCTCGAGCTTTAGAGTAAGTTACAACTTACACGTATATGAAATTTAAGCCTCTCTCTCTCTCTCTCTCTCTCTCTCTCTGTGTTTGTGTGGGTGTGTCTGTTTGCACACCCTCACACGTGGATTAAAGGTGCATAATGATTACTCAAAAACACTTCTTAAGTTAAAGACCTCTTCTGCCTGCCAGGTACTTGCACGAAGTTTGCTTACCTTCTGTTGTGCATAGAAACTTCAAGTCAGCAAATATTTTACTTGATGAAGAGCTCAATCCCCACTTATCTGACTGTGGTCTAGCTGCTCTGACGCCAAACACAGAGCGACAGGTAAATGGATGGAGTTAAATATGGGTTGTGAGCAGTCCTCATACTTTTGTCCAAATGATTAATTCAACTTCATGATTCACAGGTTTCAACTCAGATGGTAGGTTCATTTGGTTATAGTGCTCCTGAATTTGCCTTGTCAGGAGTGTACACTGTAAAAAGTGATGTCTACAGCTTTGGGGTGGTGATGCTTGAGCTATTGACTGGTCGCAAGCCACTAGACAGGTATACCTGTCCCACTTTACTGAATTGTCAGGTTTATGATCTGGAGTTTCTTGATTTCATTTTAATGTTGATTAATAGTTTCCCTTTTTCCTCAAATTTTTCTACTTTTTTAGTTCAAGAGTGAGGTCAGAACAATCCCTTGTGAGATGGGCTACTCCCCAACTCCATGATATAGATGCCCTAGCAAAAATGGTTGATCCTGCACTAAATGGCATGTATCCTGCGAAGTCTCTTTCACGTTTTGCTGACATCATTGCCCTCTGTGTTCAGGTAACTTCTTTATGAATGATAATACCAATTAGTTGCCCTCTTATGGCCTTTAAGAGCAGCTTAATACTTGGTAGTGATGGTTTAAAAACTAGGGAATTCTCAAAAATCACTTTAAATAAATGGCTTTAAATATATTCCTTGTATGTCACCTTAAATAAATTCCCATATCTCATCTTTTATAATAACCAATTTACATTATTGGTCTTTTTGCATAGCCGGAACCTGAATTTCGGCCTCCCATGTCTGAAGTTGTACAAGCACTGGTGCGCTTAGTGCAAAGAGCAAGCGTGGTCAAAAGACGTTCCAGTGACGAATCTGGTTTTTCATACAAGACTCCTGATCATGAAGCAATTGACATGTCATTTTAAGTGTCCCTGCCATCCTTTTTTCCCTTTTTGCCTGCTTTCTTCTGCTGGGAAAGATTCTAGCAGATTCGAACCCAACCGTAGTGAAGGAGACAAGTGCCTTTTCAACCACACCACTTGGGTGTGGTGTCATCGCAGCCATCTTAAACGTGCTGGTATTTGCTGTTTCATGTACTAGCTACCATGTGTGGAGGTGAGGGATGGCTGAAGCACATAGTTTCAAGATATTTGCAGTTTTATATACAGAGGCCAGGGTTTGGATAAAACACACAGAAGCGGAGAGGAACATGCGATATGTACTAAACTTAGATGAAAAATATATGTAATTATGATTCATAGAGTTATTTGCACATAATAAGAAGCCTGAAAATCACTGTCAAACAATGCAATGCAATGCAAATAGTTGCAAATATTCTGATAGAATTTGGGTCAGATGCCTGCTGGAACTTGGCAGATAATTTTATCTTGTTTCGGCAGATTTATATTTCTGAAAGCCATGTAAATCAACTTCTTATTTTCTTTCATTTTATGCGATAGAAACTAGAGGCAATGCAAAATGTGATTGATGATGTAGTACACTCACATGATGGCGTATTTGATGTTGAAATAGTCTGCATGAAAAGTAAATAATTGTAAATTAAATTATGAGTTACGATAGAAACCTTCAAAATTCAATTATAATCAGCAGCCAAAATAAAGTCAGTTATAATTCGAATTGATAAGGATAATAATAGAAACCTTTTTTTAAAAAGGGTAAATGGTTGAAAACCCCCCTAGACTATTTGGCTTGTCGAAATGTCCACCCTGAATTTTTTTTTCAGCCAATTTAGCCTTCGTATTAAATTTAATCGCCAATTTAACACCTACCGTCAAGTTTCTACACTTCCATCCAATTTTCCGTCAATTACAAGGGTAAATTTGTCATTTTACAAAGTACAATATTAATCAAAATTAAAAAAAAATGTGAAAACAAAAAATAGGCTAAACTGAGATCTATTTTTCCAAAAACCCATTTTCTGGGTTTTCTTCATAGATGGTGATGTTTTCTCTGTTTGCTTCTCTAATGGTGGGTTTTGATATGAAATTTCTCAGTTTTTTTTGGTTTATGAGTATCAATATATTGGACTAGCTGAGGATCTGGCGCTAATGGCGGAAGAGGCCGACGTTCCGGTGGAGCAGGTTGAGCTTGGACTAGCTGAGGATCTGGCGCCACTAGCGGTGACGATGCAGAGGTCGGAACCAATTGTGACGGCGTAGTCGACGTCGGCTATGATCTTGGTGAGGGGGACAAAGGCGGCAGCGTGCTGGAGGTCGAGCATCTCGCCGCAGAGCTTCTCGAGTTTGGTCTGGGTGAGGATTGGTTTGGGCGAAGGCCATAACCAAGTTGCCGACGCCGATGACGGAGAATTTGGTGTGGCACTTGGTGGAGGAGGGAGAGGCGGCGTCGGAGATGGGCTTGAAGAAGGCTTGGGTTCAACCTTGTCGTCTGCACTGCGTGCAGAACTTAGGTATTCAACGATTTTATGGAGATAAAAGTCTCGATGCTGTAGTTGTTGATTTTGAAAAAAAATCCTATTTATTTCATAACCTTGCTAATCTAGTGGTTGATGATGCGGATGAAAATGGATCCAGCTTTGGAGCAAGGTATGAAAAAGGAAAAAGAAATTGCAAAAATTAAGTGAAGTGAAGTGATTTAAAATTTAAAAAGAAATTGAAAAAGAAACAGCGGATGAAGTGATTTAAAATTTAATTATTTTAAACTTAAAAAATTAAATTTTAATTAAACAGTGAGTCATGTGCCTTCCATGTGACTTTTAGACAGAAAATTGGATGAAATTGCATGACAACTAACGTCAGGGGCTAAATTGACCATTTAAAATAATCTGAGTGCTAAATTGGCTGAAAAAAAATTCAGGTGGACATTTCGACAAGCCAAATAGTCCAGGGGGGTTTTCGACCATTTACCCTTTTAAAAAATGTCTAAGTTTTTAAAAGCTAATCTCATTGGCCATTGCGAAATTGCTATCCTAAACTCGACCGCAGACAATCTTCAAGAATACAGACAAGAAAATCAAAATAGAAAACGGCAAAGTCCTGGTTGGACAACTCCAATTCGTTCTTCCATTTGTTGCAAATTGCGGACATTAATTTTAGCAATAGGACCCGAAGAGCAGACTTATCGCACTCGTTACGCTTCCGGCTTCTTAGCGTTTCTTCCTCAGGCTCTCTCTCTCAGCTCTTGGGGCCAAATCCAGAGGAGCCGAGCACAAATCAATGTCCTTAAACGCCATTCAAGTTAAACCAGTCTCAGAAGAAGAAGAAGATGGACCTTCAGCTCAGCCCGACCCCAACACCTCCTATCCCAGCCTGTTGCATTACCGCTCCGGCTCTGGCTCCACCACTCCGAGGAGCCGCCAATCCTCACCTGGTAACTCGCCGCGACTCGGCCCCACTCGATTCGCCAACTCGGACACGTGTGATTCACAATATACGCCGTTGTTTTTGGGGTTCGATAAGGAGCTGAAGATGCAGAGGAGGGCCAAGAGGAAAGTAGGGAGGGCTTGGTATAGCAGAAAGCGAGTAAAGTTTGTTGTGGGTGTGATTGGATTATTGGTTTTGTTTTTCTTGATGAATTGGGTTATGCTTTTACGGCTACAAGATCATGGGCTCCATTCTGAATCTGGATTTTCCGGGAATTCGTCTGTGGCTTCGGTATCGGTTACTATTCGGGTATGTGCATGTTGGGAAAGTTTAAAATTTTCTTGGTTCAACTCTAAACTATTGAATTTGAGGTATATTTTTCATTGAGGTATGATCGATTGCTTTGCAATTTGGTTAGTCAATGTGATTCAGGTATTTGAGAAAGAATAGAATTGTAGATTATATCAAAGAAACATATGCCTTTTCATTATTGCCTCAATAAAGGATGGTGATTTTGCTAAGTATAGCCTTCAGGTTATCAAACTGTCAAGCGTGACTTGCTGTAATTGCAATAAGATTGTTCATGGAAATAGAGTTGCCGTCAGATTTGATTGGTCATGTTCTGTCAAAAGGTTCAAACTAATATCCCTAATATTATGTACATGAGTTGATGTCGGAATGAAATTGTTAAGGGCCAGTTTAAGTTACGGTAAGTTTTTGGTTTTCAGACCCTTTTTTGATATTTAAATTTTATAAAAAGTTTAAGAGATAGAGGAAAATACATGAGAGAAATGAGGGAGGGAGGTGAGATATGAGAGATGCGAGGAAGAAATGAGGGAGAATACACAAAACTAAAACTAAGAAATACATGTAAAATTATTTTTGGTTTTTATTTTATGAACTATACCATGTACATTTTCTTATCTTTCCCTCACATCACATCTATACTCTTTCTTCTCACTATTTTCTCATTTTTCCTTTCCTATATTTAATTAAAAATAAAAAGAAAAATTGAAAATGAAACATTACGGATCCTAAGATTTTCCTTTTTGGCTCTTACTTGGTATGTTTGCAGGAAAAATGGAGAAAACTTGGTAAAGAAAAAAAGGCATGGAAAGGTAATTACGGAAGGATGTTGGATTTAGCTGCGCATGCGTTGGCAGAGGTACTCTCCTCTGGTTAACTGGAATTTCAGATTAGTTAGTTAAGGCAGGCATTAATTGATGATGTCTCGTTCTAATCACTTGTTGTGGCTGATTCATTGATATGATGCAGGGACTGAATAAACCTGAGCCGAAAGATTTGTGGCTGGAGCCATTTGTTCCTGCTTCTTCTTGGAAACCTTGTGCTGACCAACGGAGCTGGGAACCTAATGGTATCTCTCTCTCTCTCTCTCTCTCTCTCTCTCCCTCTCTCATGTAAGTGTGGATGGAAGCACATATTTCATGCAAGTCCTTATCTATGCATTTTAAAGATTGCAAAACTAATGGATTAAGCTGGCTCTAACATTCATTTTCTGTGGTACGTTATAGAGGGAAAGAATGGATACATTTTGGTCACTGCAAACGGTGGAATGAACCAGCAGCGAGTAGCTGTAAGTGATGCTTGAGGCACTCACAGCTGTTTTTAGGATTACTTGTGTGCAAATTCTATGAACTTGCACCGAGTCATAACTTAGGAAACATAAACATAGAATGTGGTTCTATGGGGCCTTATTTTGATGTGAGTTCTATTTCTTTACCTAATAGTATTTTATTTGGCTACAGGTTTGCAATGCTGTCACTGTTGCACGATTACTCAATTCAACCCTGGTTGTTCCCAAATTTTTGTATAGCAGTATATGGAGAGATGTGAGGTGACCTATTTCTTCCTTCTTCTTTTTTTCCACTCAAGAATTTTTCTTTGTTTCTTGTGCGTATGGTTTATGTCAGTTTTGTAATAAGAGAAAGCTGCATTTAACTTCTGGATTCAAAACTTGAATGGGTTGGAGGGTTGTTGGGGTTGATTCTAATAATTGCTTCATTATTCATATTCATATTCATATTGACCATGGTTAGAATAATAATATTCATTTGTGCGTTCTTCAAATAATTAATTGCTTTTCCTGGTCTGCTGGGTATGAAATGAAAGTTTCTAGCTCCAAATGCTTTCATGTGCCCCAGTTATTTGGGATATCTCCATTATAATTTTACTTTAGGTTTTTTTAAAAAAAAATTTAATATAATTGTTTTATTAGTGGCTTTGGCGTTTTGTAATTTCTTACTGTTGACTTTTCATCATGCGTTATTTGGGACATCTCCATTATCATTTTTCTTTAGTCATTTTCTTTTCAACTTTTTTTATTTAAAAAAAAAAAATTGTTTTATTAGTGGCTTTGGCGTTTGTGATGACTTATTGTTTTCCTTTGAAATAATAATAATAATGTGTTGATTATACTAACTTCATGTATAACTAGTGATTTATTTTTAATTTTTGTTAATCTCATATTTTTGCCTTTAAAATTAATGACAACAAGTTGTATGATTTCATAGTCAATTCGGCGATATCTATCAGGAGGAGCATTTTATTAAATACTTGACTCCTGATATTCGGATAGTGAAGGAACTCCCTAAGGAGCTACAGTCACTAGATTTGGAAGCAATTGGTAGTGTTGTAAGTCCCTGAGTGAAATTAAATATTCTTAACCATCAAAGTGTTTGCTTCCGTGATGAGTATGTTTCTACTTGTTACAATTTGTTCCAGGTGACAGATGCAGACATCCCCAAAGAGGCAAAGCCAAGTTTTTACTTAAAAAACATTGTCCCTATTCTACTTAAGAACGGAGTTGTACATTTTCTTGGATTTGGGCATCGCTTGGCATTTGATCCAATACCATTTCAGTTGCAGGTACACAATAAGCTTCTAAAACCCTACCTTTAAGAGTTTCTGGCTAGGAAATTTTTAGTGGATTTTCATCCTCTTCCTCCCCCAGTTTCACTTTGTTGCTTGCATACCATTTT